ACAAGCTTTGCGAATAAAACTGAATAGGGATACATAATAGGGAAAATGGATACAATAATCAGTCCCATGCAGGGGTACTGAAATGACCCAAAAAGTTCTTAAAAATGTGCTTCGGAAGTTACCGGAAACTTGTTTAGCTATATATAAAAAAATCCGTTTCGTTTTTCGAAAATCCGATTTCATATTCTTGTTTAGGGGGGTCAAATTGAGTGGGAAATGGGGTCTAACCCAAATTTTTAGAGCAACCGTATCAAAATCCAAAATTTCCAAGTGAAGCCTTTTTCGAGGGTCTACTTTGGAGGGTCATATCTCCTAGCACACAAATTATTGGGTGGCCAATAACATATCTATGGAAAGCCCTTTGAGTTAGCTACCTAACGCACTTCGTTTCACCTCATTCGGAGTTCGGACGAAGAAGTTATGCCCATTTTCGTAAAATCTGTCCGGCAGGAAAGACAATTTCCAGTGAGCGTTTTTACTGTTCACCCGCCTCATTTTTTTCTAAGTGTTGGACCATTTTTTCCAAAGGGCATATGTTATTTCCTATATACCATTAGTTCAATTCCCATCTCTAAAACATTTCCCAAAAACACCTCTCCCATACTTAGACACATTTTCTCTCAAGTTCTCTCAAGAACCCTAATCCAAAACCTTCCTCAAGATTGAAGAGATTCTTGCTCCAAGTTTCAAGCTTCCATTGAAGACACTCTCAAGACCTTCATAAAAAGAAACTCAAGGTATGTGGTAACTCATGGGTCCTTCCACCCATAGTGCCTAGACTCTATTCTACTCACTAATTCATGGTTTAAGTTAAGATTCATAAATTAGTCTTGTTCTTTGTAATAATTTCCTGCACATTGAATTTTAAACATGAAAAGTGATTGTTTTGAGCATGTTGTGACCCTAGAACTTGAACCTAAATTTGGAATGGATGTGGAGATTTTCATGTGGTATTGTGGGTGTTAAAAAGGTGTTGTTGTAGGTTGTTCACTGGTTTGGCTGCATAATTACTACCCTATTTTCCATGCTCTTTGATTCCATTACATGCCTTCAAGGTGTTTGACAAAATGTCCAACTATGGAGAATTGATGAATCGATGCTTTAAAGCTTGAGTTATGAGATGTATGGAAATCCAGAGATGTGTTGATGACAAACTAAGCTTGTGTATATGTTCATTCCATACGTGAGATTGCATTAGAGCCTAATGGGAATTTCCTATATAAAGTGTTGCATGACCATGCCCGGTCCGGGGGAAAAGAACCGGACAACCATGTGAGAGGTTTATATCTCACCACCTAGGATGCTTGGGGTGTGACCAACATCAACCATGTGAGAGGTTTATATCTCACCACCTAGGATGCTTGGGGTGTGACCAACATCAACCATGTGAGAGGTTTATATCTCACCACCTAGGATGCTTGGGGTGTGACCAACATCAACCATGTGAGAGGTTTATATCTCACCACCTAGGATGCTTGGGGTGTGACCAACATCAACCATGTGAGAGGTTTATATCTCACCACCTAGGATGCTTGGGGTGTGACCAACATCAACCATGTGAGAGGTTTATATCTCACCACCTAGGATGCTTGGGGTGTGACCAACATCAACCATGTGAGAGGTTTATATCTCACCACCTAGGATGCTTGGGGTGTGACCAACATCAACCATGTGAGAGGTTTATATCTCACCACCTAGGATGCTTGGGGTGTGACCAACATCAACCATGTGAGGGGTTTATACCTTGCCACCAGGGTGTCCGGGTGTGAACGGCATCCCCCATCCTAAGTTGGGTTATAGATTGGTTGGATCATGCATACACATATGATATCTACTATTAGTATAGAGTTACTTAAACATGTTTTGACTTCACTTTGATCATGCATCCTCATATTGTTATTCATAATGCCTATGAAACTATTTCTTGTATTTCGATTGTGTCCTTGTCTATTGTTGTGTTGTACCCCGCATACTTAGTACATTCCAAGTACTAACGTATATTTTGCCTACATGATGTCACCATGTAGGGACCGGAGTTACTCTTGATCCTTCTCTTCATTCATGTGGCTAGTACGGTGCTTATCCGAGTTGTTGGTGAGTCCTCAATGATTCGAGGGCTATGTTATGTTTCCTACTCCTATGTTTTGAGACTTTAGCTTGCAATTGTATTTTGACTATGAGGGGAGCCGGTAATATGTCATGGCCCCCGTCCTATCTATGTATGTAGAGGTGTGCGTTGGACAAGTATTTTGTAAATGAGCTTGACTCTTGTTCTATGATGTCATTTTGAAATGGTTTGCCCTTAGTCCCTATTTCCAGTTAATTAATGTTGAATGTACTTCCGCGACCGATGAAGTGTGATGACAAGTTTGAGAGGCTTGTTTGGGGTTCCTTCGGGTTCCTCATTCGCCATGTCACGTCTAGGCCCTAGGCTTGGGTCGTGACAGGTACAATCCTAAGTTATGCCTTCATGGAAAATCCATCTTTCTTGAACTTGTTGTCGTCTCCGGGTGACAATGCCTTTGGATCGATTAGTAGCTTATAAAGATCTTTCTTTGACTATAATAGGCTATAATCTACTCCTTACCCCAAGGGACAATGAGTTTTTAAAAAATGTATACATCTTTCAAATTTAACACATAAATATGAACGTCCATTTGGGCCGTCGGCAGTTTTGGACTCAAGGTGGTCTCTCTAATATGCCCAACACGCCTTGGGTATTGGGTCATCTTAGTTCAATGCGCTAAAAGGGATTTGGTTTCGCTCTACGCTAGTTGACTAAGAGTTGGTTTTGAGACAAGACCTGGTTAACCGAGTTGGACAAACTACGGGGTGAAGTATAATAAACAACGTTGGATGATCACAAGCCAACTATTCGTTTATCACTTCAAAAGAATTTGAAGGTACTTTTCTGAAGGACAGCCGTGGAAAGCCACATAACCACCTTTTTTTCTAATGCAAACTATTTGCCATTTGGCGGAATCGAAGCCATGAATGTCACAGTTTATATTATACAAGAATTGAAACAATTAAGCAATTTAAACAAATAGCCAAATAAGTTAATTTTAAGGTTATAACCCATTCAATTCCCCAACAGAGTCGCATTATGTTTTATATTTTAAAAAAAGAAAACGACGGGTTTTAAGAGTCGCCACTTAATTTTTCTATTCTTTCAAAAGATTAAAAACAGAAAATCTAATGAAAATCTTTAAAGGGGGTTCGGGGTTCATATTAACGTTTTAGACAGGTTTTGAAAGAACCTAAAATGTCCGCTTACTTGCGCTTATCTGACAATTAAAATATTTGGCTAACAATAGGCATGCTTGACTAGTTACGGAATAAATGAATTTTATAACTTAAAATCATTTAGAGAGGAAAGGGAATATATTATCAAAAATGTCTAATTAGAGAAAAGCTTCTAAATTTTTTAGAATTCAATTTGGAAAGACAAATATACTTGGTTATTTTAAGATAAAGTACTATAAGTTAACTAACTCAAAATGGGTGTCCTTTGGGGAATTATGAGTTAAAAACCTTAAAATTAATTAGTAAATATGCATATACTAACAATAAAATTAACACGATATATATAATAAGGAGAGAGGAAGATTTGGGCCCAAGTCTGGTTTCTGTTCGCCTGGGCCAATACTTGGGCCTAATTTTTGCTTTGGACCTTTGGCCCATATGTACCTGTCTTAAACTATCATAAAAAATTAACTTTCTTTTGGACTTTTGGCCCAACTTTCACCTGCCCTAAAACTATCAAAATAATTTCTAAAATATATGGGTTTCGGCCCAATTAAACAAAATACAAAGCTGGAAATTTTTGGGGCTTTTGGCCCGATTTTTGCTGATGTATACAACATATACAACCATCGTATATCGATGTATACTTCTTGTATATCCGGCGAATTCAACATGTATACCGGCCGTATCTCGGCCTCTCTTCCACCTGTAGTTCAGCTTACTTTTTAACTTTGTTGGATCGAGGAGGTAGACTCAAACTTAAACTCGAGGATATGCTAACGGGAGAGTCCAAAATGGACTCGGATGGAGAGAGTCCATGCACAAGAGGAAATAAAAATAAATAGCAATTGATCAATGAACAAGATCTATGACACTAGAGACCAGTTTGGTAGGCGGTATTAGATAGAATAATCCATGCATTAAAATTTAGTCCATCTAATACATTGTTTGGTTACTTCATTAATTTAATCCATGGATTGCTTATCCACCATATGTGGTCTTATCTTATCCCTAGAAAATGGAGGGATAATTAATCCAAGGTTTGTTAAACCTCTGATAAGACCCCTAAATGACTAAACTAACCCCTTATTCCTTTTTCTAAATTTCTTTTGTAATTTAATTTCCTTTTTATTTTTATTGAAATGGTTATAAATGTTCTTTTTTAATTCTCCAAATCCGTTTAGTGTAATTTAATGATTTCACTAATATTTTTTTCTCCATTTTATCTTGGTTTTTATTTTATTCAAGATAGTTTGTCGATTACCCACTTGAACTATTGTTTTTAAATTAAAAAAAAAAGCTTTAGGTATTGAACAATTTAAGTAGCTTAAATCTATGTTAAGTTTAAGATTATTTACTTGACCAACAAAATATTAGAAATACGTTGTGCCATCAATGATCTTCTTAGTGGTACATCACACCTTAAAATTAATAACAATTTTATGTATATATGTATTTGATTTAACTAATTAAATGGAATAGAAAATTCTTTAAAAAAAATTGTCCGGTCCGGTGGTTATCTACTTTGACCCAATTACATGAAATAAACACTCATAATAACACAAGGGTATAATACGAAAGAAATTTTTTGTAGACTTTTAAATCAAACACAAAATTAAGTGGAAAGTAGTGAACCAAACACTTGACAACAAATAATCCCTGCACTACTAATCCCTGCATTACTAATCCCTGCGTTACTATTCCCTCCATTACTAATCCATGCATTATCAATGTTTGTACCAAACGACCCCTACCTGCATTATGCAAAAATATCAACTTGTTAAAGGGTTATAAGTGTATTAATACATGGATTATGCTTGAATGACCAACAACTTAACCTAATAGATTAACAAGTCGATAAGAAGAGAAGTCAACAAATTGAACTAAACTTCAAATTTAGGCAGCAAAGTGGTATGAAATGGTAATTGGCATTATCACATCAATTAACATGCATTAATAAAAAGAAAATTATACATACTATGCTGCACATTAAAGCTTCTAACGAGACCAAAAATAAGCATGCACCCATATATATAAATTTGGTCATCTAAACAAGAAAAAATAAATCAACAAAGTCTTTAAATAAATACAAAAAAAGACATATATTGTGATTCAGCTAATTATGTACTAGTCTAATTAGTTAGTTAGTTAGTCTTGTCAAATTAATTAGTCAGGGTAGTTAGTACACTATTAGTGTTATGTTAATATGTTAGTTGAATTGTTAGTTAGATTTATTGTTCCTTCACTGTATAAATATTCGCTCTTCTCATAATGAAAATCAGTTAAGAGATTTTCCCCAAATAGCTCTCTTCTTCTCCAATCTCTCTCTCACGTATTGCATCCATGGATGGTGCTTAGCCATGGTTGTGCAGTATTATTGACATGGTATCAGAGCACGAGGTATTTCATTTCAGCGATTACTTCTGTGCATCGTCTTAGATCCTCACGTTCATCATATATTGCATTTTTTTTACTGGTTCACGTTCCAGATTTGGTCCCCAATTGATCGAATTTTGGATCAATTTTTCTTTTTCGTCTTTTACTGGTTTGTTGCTGGGTCTTAGATCGACTTCGAATTTTATTGTGTGTTTTGATTTCTGTTGAATTGTGTTGTAATGATGAATGAAAGTGGATCTCAATCAACTTAGAATTCTGTAAACAATAACAGTGTTGGTAGTATCGACATTAGTCTCCTTTGTACATGCATCCTTCAGATAATCTAGGTGCTTCGCTGGTACAAGTTCCCTTTGATGGAGTCGGTTATAGGTCATGGAATGAGGTGTTCTTCGAGTTTTGTCAGTGAAAAATAAGCTGGGCTTTATCAATGGAGATTGCAAACAACCCGATCCAGGAACATCACTCTTTCGCCAATGGGTGAGATGTTATGATATGGTTACTTCCTAGATTCTCAACTCTCTAGCTAGGGAGATCACAGACAGTGTGGAGTATGTCCCCAACTCATTCGAATTATGGAAGGAATTGGATGATCGATATGATCAAACAAACGGTGCTAAGTTGTATCAAGTTCAACGAGAAATCAGTGAGTTGTCATAAGGTACATTATATATCACCACTTACTATACTAGAATGAAGAGGCTATGGGAGGAATTGAGTACATTGCATTAATCACATATCATACATCTGTTAAAGCTGTTCCTTTTCTTGCATCTCTTGTACAACATTGTGCTTCATTCAATAAAAAATCTCAGAATTCTGCTTCTTTTATGACTCATTCTTGCAATGATGTAAATGTATTATGGCACAATAGGCTTGGACATGTACCTTTTCTGAAGATAAGGGAAATCAAATCCATACCTAAGAACTTTTCCACTAAGCAACCTTTTCTTTGTACCATTTGTACAATGGCAAGACAAGAAAGACTACCCTTTCCACACAGAACCAACACATCTACCAAACCTTTTAAATTGTTGCATATAGATCTTTGGGGTCCCTACCATAGGATGACACATGACAACTATAGATATTTCATTACCCTTGTTGATGACTATAGTAGGTGTTCATGGACTCAGTTATTGACATGTAAAAGTAACACCTTGGAAGTCATCAAAAACTTCATGTCCATGATTGAAAACCAATTCAATGTCTCTGTCCAGACTATAAGAATTGATAATGGACTTGAATTTGTAAACTCAGAAACCTCAACTTTTCTTAAGTCTAAGGGAATCATTCATGAAAGAAATTGTCCTTACACACCACAACAAAATGGGGTGGTGGAAAGAAAACACAAATACTTGCTAGAAACTGCCAGGGCTCTTCTTTTCCAATCGAAATTACCACTAAAGTACTGGGGGGAATGCATTTTGTGTGCCACATATATTATTTACAGACTACCTACTTCACACATGATGGGGAAATGTCCATATGAATTGTTGTATAAAACTAAACCAACTTACTCCCACATGAGTACCTTTGGTTGTCTTTGTTATCCTACCTTTCCAAAGTCTCACATGGACAAATTTCAACCTAGAACAACACCTCACATCTTCATAGGTTACCCTTTTGGATCAAAAGGATACAAAGTTCTAAGCCTGGCTACAATAAAAATACATATCTCCAGGGATGTAGTTTTTAAGGAATCCATTTTTCCTTTTGCTGCACTTTCTGATGTATCTTCTTTTCCTTCTGTTTTACATACTGTGCCAACAAGAAAAATACATATCTCCAGGGATGTAGTTTTTAAGGAATCCATTTTTCCTTTTGTTGCACTTTCTGATGTATTCTTTTCCTTCTGTTTTACATACTGTGCCCTTCATGGACACTGTACATACTGAAATTGGAACACAAAATATGCAACACTGAAAATAATATAGCTAATGCAAGTACCACTCTACTTCACACTTCACCTAACCATTCAACCAATTTATCTACCACCATTCAACCTCCTAATTCTATCCACATAACTGAACCTACGACCCCCACTAGACCATCTAGATCACATAAACTGCCCACATACTTACAAGATTATGTCTTATCTAAGAATATGACAACTGCACCTAGTGCTAATGCACCTAACTAACTGCAAAATTCAAACATCTCCCTCAATGCTACATTTTCCAAACATCAACATATACGACCTGAGGTCTTGGCAGATGAGAGTCAAACTCTTGTGAGAAACATCAGCAATGATGATGAACCTTCCTTATATGGGGAGGCAACTATGAATCCTGCCTGGCAGCAAGACATGACACATGAATTTGAGGCATTGCATGCAAATCATACTTGTGATCTAGTTGATTTACCTAGTGGCAAGAAGGCCATATGATGCATGTGGGTTTATAAAGTGAAACTTAAGGCAGATGGGACTGTTGAAAGATTCAAAGCTAGACTTGTAGTGAAAGGCTACACTCAAGAATCTAGGATTGATTATATATAAACTTTCTCACCAGTAATAAAGATGACAACTGTGAGGGCTCTATTAGCCATAGCTGTTAAAAAGGGCTGGAACATTTTTTAGCTTGATGTAAACAATGCATTCCTTCATGGGGATCTACATGAGGAGGTATATATATAGAAGTTCCACCCGGCTTGGTAGTGCATAAGTTAGGGATGGTATGCAAACTAAATAAGTCCCTGTATGGCCTGAAACAAGCCAGCAGGCAGTGGTATGTCAAATTGGTTGAGGCTTTTGTATTCAAAAGGTTACACTCACTGAATGATTATTCATTGTTTCACAAAAAGTCTACAACCTCCACCATTTTTGTTGTTGTATATGTAGATGATGTGATTTTGACAGGAACAAGTGTTTTTGAAATTGAAGAACTCAAGACCTTTCTCCATGATAAATTTAGGATTAAGGACTTGGGAAAGTTACACTATTTTCTTGGGATGGAAGTGCTTTATAAAGATGATGGACTTATCATCTCACAAAGGAAATTTTTCCTAGACATGCTGAAGAATTACAAGGTTGCAGGGATGAGAAGCTGCACATCTCCACTGGACCCTGCAGTAAAGCTCCATGCCAAGGAAGGAACACCTTTGTTAGAACCTTTATTTTTATAGAAACCTTGTTGGAAAGTTGAACTTCTTAACCAGCACTAGAATGGACATATCATACAATGTACAACACCTTAGTCAATTTATGCAGGATCCTGGAGAGCCACACTTGCAGGCAACATTCCATTTATTGAGGTATCTCAAGGCTGATCCCACTCTAGGAATTTTTATGTCCAAAGACCAGTCATACAATATCAAGGCCTATTGTGACTCTGACTGGGCTGCATGCCCTGACTCCAGGAAGTTAGTGAGTGGCTATATTGTGCTGTTAGGCAATAGTCCACTGAGCTGGAAATCCAAGAAACAAGAGACTGTATCTTTGTCTTCAGTAGAGGCAGAGTATAGGGCTCTAAGAAAAGTTGCAGGTAAGTTGATTTGGCTTAGCAGATTATTGACAGAACTTACAGTGCCACTGCCAACACCCATTGAGGTATTTTGTGACAGTCAATCAACTTTTCATATTGCTCGAAATCCAGTGTTTCATGAACGAACCAAACATATTGAACTTGATTGCCACTTTGTAAGGAATCTGCTTCAAACTGGACTTATTTCCCTACATCACATAAACTCTGATAAGCAACTTGGAGATATACTAACCAAGACTTTGACTAGGATCAAACAATCTACAACATTGAGCAAGTTGTCAATGTTCTCCACACCTCCAACTTGAGGGGGGAGGGGTATTGTGATTAAGCTAATTATGTACTAGTCTAATAAGTTTGTTAGTTAGTTAGTCTTGTCAGATTAATTAGTCAGGGTAGTTAGTATACTGTTAGTGTTCTGTTAATATGTTAGTTCAATTGTTAGTTAGATTTACTGTTCCTTCACTGTATAATTATACGCTCTTCTCATAATGAAAATCAGTTAAGAGATTTTCCCCAAATTGCCCTCTTTTTCTTCAGTCTCTCTCTCTCACGTATTGCATCCATGGATGATGCTTAGCCATGGCTGTGCAGTATTATTGACATGGCTAGCAAACAATTATCTGAAGCATGAATCCCACATATATAACTTGAAACTATCTAGTTCTCAAGCAGAATAGTTAAACCATAAATATTGATAAAGAGTTTGAAACAGTGTATTGAAACAAAAGAGAAATGACTACAATTACACCTATATCACCACACACAGTGAAGGAGTCGAACTTTATGACCAAGCAGAGTTTAAGACAAAAACCACGATTATACAAATCTAATAGAAAACAAACCAAACTCTGAATGCTAACGCGTCAAGCTCTGCATAAAATTAAGACGGAGCATTGAAAACATTTAAGAAGAGTCAGGTAGAACATTAAGAAATAAGGTAATCAATAACACACAGTAACAACACAAGCA